CACGCAGCGCATCGACAGGGTTGTCGGGCGCCCCGCCTTCGAGGGAAAAAAGAGAAAAAAAAGGTACTCAGCGTCGCAAAGATTGGAAAGAATATGTGCTGTAGTGATTAGGCAAACGCACATTTTGAGGTGCCGATCATGGATGTGTTGTTGATTTGTCGTTGATTTGTCGTTGATGTGTCGTTGATTTGTCGTTGATTTGTCGTGGATTTGTCGTTGATGTGTCGTTGATTTGTCGTGGATTTGTCGTGGATTTGTCGTGGATTTGTCGTGGATTTGGTTTCTTATTGAAAACAATAAGAAAATATATTAAGAAGCAAATCCACGACAAATCCACGACAAATCCACGACAAATCCACGACAAATCCACGACAAATCAACGACAATTCAACGACAAATCAACGACAAATCAACCTCGTCGGAGAAGAATAAATATCGTCACCGTGTCAATTGAATCATTATTTCTGTCATGCAGCGATTGTTACACATCAGAATTGGCATCCGTACCGTTGGTTCAAGCCGCATTTGTTGCAATGCGTACGCAGAGGGGAGGCCGTTTGCAGCGCCAGCGGCAGAGGTCATCAGATGCTTTGCCAGCGCAGATAGCAAAATCAGGGATGATTGGTGATGTTTTGAGGCAAGGCAAGTGCGACTCCGATGAAGTGAAAGGCTGGCTTCTCGAGTGGTCCTGGGGGAAGAAAAGCGCGAGGGGCATCCAAAGAGACGCTGCGTTTGCACTGAAAGACATGGAACGATTGTGCCGCAGAGGACAGATTTCAGAAGATATGATTTCGTCTGCAATTCGAGCGCTTTCTCAAATTGGATCCAGTGGTAAACAAGGAGGAAATGCCCACAGAGCTTTGCAAATTTTGCTTGGGAATCCGATTGTGTCCTTTGCAGCGCACTATGATGTTTGTGTGAAGAATGCTGCAGCGCGAAAGGGATTTCGACCGCAAGTTGACCGTTTCGAGATGAAGCATCCAATCCATTTGCCACACGTTTTGTTTGCTCATTTTTTCCATGAGGACAAAGAACAATTTCGAAGGAAGTTTCTTCCGTCTGCCAGCGGCGCTGCTGGCGGCTGCGACGCGCTCGAGGAGTTCTGGGCCGAGATGCTTCGTCGGCTCAAGGGATTGCAATGCATCTTCTCTCGCCGCGTCGTCGCGCTTTGGCCTTCAGGGGTTTGTCGATAGCTCCGTTGGGGAATCAGGCTGGGAGAAGAAATTGAAGAGGAGGGGTGGGAGAAGGACGAGGGTGTAGGAGGGGAGAAGCGAGGGAAGATTCGTTGCCCAGGAGAGATCCTCGTTTGGACGGTCACCCGATGCGCGCGAGACCAGATTGGATGCGCAGAGCAGTGCCGCTAGCAATCCACGGGGACGGGGTGGCAGTATTATTATGTGGGAGACATGGTTCCAAACCCTTGGAATGCATCAGTTTTTCTTCCGTTGTGTCAGAAGGGGAATTATCATCGAGATTGATGATGTTATCGTGCGCCTTTGAGGACAACAAACTTTTGCAAGGGATTGGAGGCAAGCCAGGGACTGATAAATCAATCTGGAAAATATTGTCTTGGAGTTTCAACGTTCTGTTCGAAGGAAAGCACCCTTCGGTGGACGCGCATGGCGACGAGGTGACGTCGCTCCTGCCCGGCACGCATTTATGCTCTGCAGAAGAACCGTTCTTCGGCGTTCTTTGGTCAATCAAAGGGGATTATGAGTGGTTTCGAAAATCTTTGGAATTGCGGAGCGCGGCAGCGGACAAACCTTGCGAGCTCTGCGAGGCGGACTGCTCGTCTGGAAACGCAAGTTGGCATCCAACCCATTTCTTGCCAGGCGCCTCCTGGATGACATCGCTTTGGTCAGGTCGCGATTGGAGGGGGGCGAAGGAAAGACACGTCGTATTCGAACAGGTGCCGTACCTATCGTGCCTCAATGTGGAGCCCGACGAATTACACGTTCTCAATCTCGGTTTGTCTCAACAAGTGCAAGGGGCAGTATTGTGGATCATTGTATACTTACGGATGCAAGGCACATTGGCGCAAAGAGTTGCAGAATTATGGAGCAATTTGAAAGAGCATTATGAAGTTGGAGACTGCAGAATTGGCGATTTCTCGTTGAACACTTTTTGTGATCCCAAAAAACCTTGGCAAGAGTTCCCGCACCTGAAAGCGAAAGGCGCTCAAACTAAAGACCTCGTGAAATGCCTGTATGCATGTTGGAAAAAGTATAGAATCAGCGATGATGCTAGCGCAGGATACGAATACGATTCGCAAGTGGAAGCGTTGTTGGAAGATTTGCTGACATTGGGCAGCGCTCTCGACGTGCATTCGCGAGACAAATTCCTGCCTCGCCACGCAGCCGCGTGCTTCAAAGAAGCTGTAAGTAGGTTTTTGATGCGATACTCTTGGGTGGCAGCAAAATCGGACGAGCAGGGTTTGCTGCTGCTCCCATCTAAAACGAAGTTGCATTATTTGTGGCACATCGGCAATAGAGCGGGTTTC